ATAATTTCTTAAAATGGGAATTGAGTGTCAGTGGCAGTGAATTGAACAATATAATGTTGCAGCACTTGTGGTGGTTTAGGTCTAATTTCCTCTTTTGCTTGTGTTTTGTTTTGTTTTGTTTTAATGTAACAGATAGTTTTGGGTTTGAAGAGAAATGCATTTTGTTTTGATTTATTGTACTTTACTAGGTTGTTTTTTTTTATAAATTCATTTCTTCTTTGCTAAAAATTTTAAATTCTGATGTTAATATATGATTTTTTTTAATGAATGTATTTTGGACTTTTCTCTAAAAAAGTTACTTTATCAAATGGTTTGGTTTAAGTTTTTAATGATAGGATAAGTGATGGAGTGTGGTATTGCTGTGTGGTATTGCTTTTCATTTAATGGTTTGAATGTTTAAATGATTACGTTTTTGTTTTGAGGATGTTTTTATGTGGCTTTCAAAGATGTTTTTGCATTCCATTTTATTTTCAATGTTTATTACGGAGTATATATGAAGATTAATATGTTGCCTTTAAGTAAAATCAAAGGTCTAATTTGTGTGAGGCTTTTGTTTTTTTGAGAATGCACGAAAAATGGCATAACCAAGACTTTGATACATTTTGTTGCAAGTATTTTCAGATTTCTTACACAATACTGATTTCATAATATGTACTCCTTCCGTCCCAAAAAGATTGATACATATTGACTTTTTGGGAAATTAAGGGAGGGATATTTTGGTGTTGACTTTCCAAAAATACCCTTGATGTGGTGTGTAAAAGTAGGATGTGATATGTAGATTATTAGGAAAAAGGTATGATGTGATAGGTAGGGTATGAAAAAGTAATGGGTAAAAATGGTTTTTTACTAGAAATGTAACGGACTTTACGGAACGCAGTTTTTTCTAAACGTAACAAACTTTTTGGGGCGGAGGGAGTATAAAGTTAGTGGCACTGTACAAAAATTGTTGCACTTGTTGGGTGTTCAAGTGTTGTTTCCTCTTTGTTTCCTGGTTTTGTTTTTTACGTAAAAGGTAGCTTGGGTTTGAAGAATAGTGCATTTAAGTATGGGTTTGAAGAAAAGTTCATTTAAGTATGTCATGAGGAGATATTATAAATTACAAAATATTGTGTGAGTTTGGAATATGAAATCTGGTCTAGTCACACGGTATGTTGGTGGTTCTTAATTTGATGGCACTCTACATTTGAAAAAAATCACCTATTGCATGCTATAACATCAGTTAAAATTTGGTCTTTGTTGTCACATCTAATAGACAAATTAGAACAATGAAGGCTTAAAAGTAGTTTCCTAGCTACTTCACAGGTTAAGATAAAAAATCGGCAGATTTTAAAACTTAGATGTTATATTAATATAATACTTAACCTCTCTAATAAATTAACAGAATGCAACACATATCATAATTTTTTTAAGAAGGAAATGAGAGAAATAGTTACTTAGGAGATAGTAGTCTTAAATAGGGGTAAAAAGACAGAAAATAGAATAAACTAAGAATATTAAAATGTCTATAGTTGGCCAACTCTCTAAGCATGATTCAATCTTTCTCAATCTTCACACTCACTTTGGGTTTCTTATTCAAGTGAGCATCTGTGTCCTCAAATTCCTTGTTGAGATCGCGTTTCAGCTTAACGTTTGAAGTAGTGGAGCTTACATCAGTTCCATGCCTTCATCATCTTTAGTGGAACTCTTACATGCAAACTCATCAATTTGTTCAATGATGGACTTTTGTGTTTAATTCTTAACACATTCCTAAGAACTAATAAGAGTTTATTAGAATATATTGATTATTTATAACTTCTTAAAATAAAGTAATATCTGTGTGCTAGAGTTATCAGATGTGAAGAAGACCGATATTGTCTTATAAAAAATTGGACCATGCTAGGGTGTCACCACATGGGTGCACCTATGGTAGCACCCATGTGGTGGCATCCTAGCATTTTCCTAAAAAATTATCCGTTGGACAATGAAGATTTTTTCATTTTAAGTCACGCCTGACTCTTCGAATTCAAGTTCAAGCAAAAGTGGCTGAGAGCATCAGCACCAGCGATCCAAACATTTGCCACGCCCTGCCACATCGGATTGAAAGCTATCCTTACTCGCGTGGGAACATCTTTTCTCCACGGTCAGCAAGGCTTATGCGAGGCACTGTAAGCCTATTTTTTCTTTTTTTTTTCCTTTTATTTTTGAGAAAGAATTCCTCAAAAAAAGAAAAAAGGGAAAAAAATGTTTTCTAGAAGGAAGTAGAACTACTTTTTACTCTCTTTGTCTCTTAATAGATTTAAATTTTTTTCATCCCTTGATAACTTTTGTTTACTTATTATTTTTATTGATTATTTAATTAAAAAAAAGTTGTCACATCTTTTTTTGTAGAACTTTTGATGTTATTTTTAAATTTATAAGTTTTATTTTTAATTCTTATACCAATTTTAAAATAAAATGATTTTTAAAAACAAAGAGTTTTGCATCGAAATTCTAAAATAATAATCTAATTTGAGATGAATGAATAAATAAAAATATGGAGTAGATAACAAAAACATTTCTAATAATTAAAATATAAAAAATTATTTATTTGAGTAAATAGAAATATTTTCATGATAAACATATATAAGTAAAATTATCTTTAATAATTCAAATATGGAAAAAATATAAAAAAAATGATAAAAACAATGACTTGCCACTGCAAGGCATGCCACTCCACTCACGTGCCATTCGTTGACTGGACTGTTTTTTATTGGTTGACATGCTCCACGTCAGCGTGTGGCATTTCATTTTTGCCTCACCATTGTTCATGCTCTGATAAATGATGGAGTAAAACCCATTTCGAATTTCAATATCATCTCCCTAATTTTTTTTCAAATTTATCACCTTCAAGAAAATAAATAATACTCCGTACTCCGTAGTATGTACATGGAATTCAATTGGTTGTAAAACTGCTAGCAATAAAAAAATCCTTACGTTATCCTTCAAAAAGTCTTTTGCTTGGTTTCCATTTTCCAAAGAGTGATATGCAATGCTTATCCCACAACATCAACGCAAGGTATTGATTGTTGATATAAATTATTATTTGTTAGTTGAATTTACATTTTACACTTCTTGGGTCTTTTTTTCTTTTTCAAAATGTAGTTTTCTATTGGTTTTCATAATGTAGTACTCCCCACCACATTCCATATTTTATATTTTAGATTAAAATATTGATGTTTACCTTATATAAATTTAGATTAAAACATATTCTATATAACTATTTAACCATAATTTTTTAAATAGTTTCCTAATTTTTCATGTAGATTAATATACAAAAAAATGGTATTATTCATTTTAAAAAGTTGAAGAAAAAAAATAATGAATGTAAATCATAAAAATAGTGAGATGAAAAAATGAAATAATTTATAAACTATAATTATGAACATAAAAGTTGTAATTAAAAAAATTATAATAATAATAATAGTAATAATAATAATAATAATAATATATATATTTTTAGGGTGATTTGTCAGATAGTAGAAAGAATTTGAAGAAAATAAATATAGTTAGATAGAAGAAACTGGAAAAAACTGAAAGAAACTAGGAAAAACTAGAAAAAATTGGAAGAACTGGAAGAAACTGGAAAGAACTGGAAGGAACTGGAAAGAAATGGAAGTTAAGAGTTCAAGTCCTAAAGAACAGGCCCGAAATGTATTGAAACACAGGTAGGTAAAAAAGAATAGTAATTGATAAATAAATTCATAGTAAAAAAAACAGAATAAAAGGATTACCTTCTCAATTTTCCAAACCCTCATATCATACTCCCTTCATTCTTAAAAACACTTTCTCTTTTATTTTTTTCACTTCCAAGAAAACATTTCCACTTTCTATTAAAAAACTACTTTTACCCTTATTTTTTCAAACTCTATCTATCACATCATACTTTTTCTCTAATAATCTATCCATCACATCTTACTTTTACCCATCACATCAGAAGCAAAATTGAAAGTCAACTATAATTTAATACTACTTCATTAGCCTCCAAGTCAAATAGGAAGCTTTTTTGCAAACGGAGGGAGTAATTATTTTCCTTTATTTGAACATAATCCCTGTTCAGAATTTAAGAACACAAAAAACATAAACTGTGGATTTGCACCCATATATGTAATCTATTGAAACAAAGATAAAAAAAAAATAAGTAATTGATAAATAGATTCATAGTTTAAAAAAAACAGAATGTAGGTGAAGTTAAGTACATACTCCGTATTAGCTTCTCAATTTTCCTAACCACCTCATATCATTATTGTTTCTTTTATCTAAACATAATGCATGTTCAGTAATTTCAAGAACACAAAAAAATTAAACTATGGATTCGACACATTAATTCAATGTTTGACATATCGAGTCTGGTATATTCTTGAAGAAATAAATTTTAAAAAAAATGCACAACCAATTAAAATTGAATAATATCGACACATAATATCTGAATAAAAAAGTAATCTCATGAATTAGGGTGCAATAAACAAATAAAGCATGATTAGTAAAAAAAATTACTCCCCCGTCCCACTCTCTTTGTCCACTTACCTTTTGGCACACCCTCCAATGCACTTCTTTAATTCATTTTATCTTGTAATTTGTATATTAAAAAATTATAGAAATTATATATTATTAATCTATATGTTAAGACAAATCAAACAAGATCACACATGACTATATTTAGACTTACACATTGAGAGAATTTGATGAGTCAAAGTGCTTAGATGAACAGTTTCAAAAGTCAAAAGTGGATAAAGAGAGTGAGACGGAGGTAGTATCTTTGAAGGAATAAACATGCACTTACACATTAAAGCTTAGTAATTAAAATATTAAATTAAAATACTCCTTTCTTTGAATAGCGATTTAAAAAAAAAATAAATGATGGGAACAGTTTTTTAGTAAATCGAAATGCTATTATAAAATCAAAACATTATTCTTTGCAATCTAAATATGGCAAAGAAACATCTTAAAATAAAAAACTAAAATGAAATATTTTGGGTCGTAACCTTAAAACTACGCCCTTTATTTAGCTCAGATCTTCTTCCTTGGGTGCGATTTGCCATGGATCGGCTTGTCCTTGATGTATATTACCGGATTGTGATGTGCGTGTGGTGGCACTCGCCGGTAAATGCCGACGGTGAAAGCAACTGCGTAAGGGATAGATCTCTTCCTCATTTCTCTCTCTTGGCTGAGACAAAGTGAAGAAGTGGGATATTCGGCAGTTTCAGAAAAGAGATTTACGCTGCTATTGTTTTTTGGTGCCTGAATAAGCGGAACTGCGGAAGGGGAGAGACCTGCTTTAGTGTGTTGAGCATGGGGTACTTACGGTACTCTATTTAGCTCGTACCGATAACGTATCAAATATTTTAATTCGGTATAAGATTTTGCTCCGTACCGATCCCGATCTTGAAATATCGGTTCGGTTTAGTTCGGGATGGTTCGGTATCGATTTTGGTACAAATTAGGATAAATGTACATACCTACTTAACACCTTAAAATTTAACAAAATAAGGTGTCAAAGTGGACTCCAGCAAAATATCTGCAATCACCGAGTGGAAAGTTCCGAGGAATGTTCGAGAAGTGAGAAGTTTTCTAGGATTAGCTGGATACTATCGACGATTCGTTGAAGGCTTTTCCTCGATCGCAACTCCACTCAACAAACTTTTGAGAAAAGACGTGAAATTCATATGGAACGACGCATGTCAGCAAAGCTTTGAAAAACTAAAGAAATGTCTGACAGAGACACTTGTACTGACACAACCAATATCAGGTGTAGACTACACAATTTTTAGTGACACATCTCATAATGGCTTGGGATGTGCACTCATGCAACACGGCAAGGTTGTAGCATACGCATCAAGGCAATTAAAGCCTCACGAATGTAATTATTCCACTCATGATCTTGAGTTAGCAGAAGTCGTATTTGCCCTGAAGATATGGCGTCATTATCTCTTTGGAGCGACGACATATATTCACACAAACCACAAAAGTCTGAAATACATGCTAACTCAAAAAGAGTTGAATCTGAGACAGAGAAGTTGGCTAGAGCTGATCAAGGACTACGACTGTTACATCAACTATCACCCTGGCAAGGCTAACGTAGTTGCTGATGCGTTAAGTCGAAAGATGATAGCCGAACTCCGAGTCCAACCAACTCTCGAGAATGAAATCCATGTTGCACAGAAACATGATGGGTACTGTCTAAAGACTGGTGAGCTTGTCTCTAAGGGGGAGAGACAAGACTTTACAGTGAACAATGGAATTTTATTCTACAGACATCTTTTGGTAGTTCCTAGTGGTGAAGTGAGAGAACGTTTAATGTGTGAATCTCTTGAAGACTTGTCGTGCGGTTTAAACAAATTAAAAATTTATAAAATAACCTTATGGTATGTTTGGGAACATGAATTTGGATTTCAAATTTGGATTTGGCTAAAATTCCATGTTTGGGAAACTTAAGCATTTTGAATTTGGATTTGAATCAAATTATTTGCATTCAAAACAATGCTTAATTTAAAATCCATGCACCTCCCCTTGTTATTTGAAATTCGGGATTTCAAATTTTAGAATTGAAATGAAATGATAGTTGCCAAACACTACCTTAGCTAACCCCCAAGATATAATCAAATAAGAACTATAACTAGGGCAAGTAAAGGTCGATCCCACGGAGAAAGTTTGTACTTTTGAAATCAAATTAGCATGCACACACATTGTTACTAAATAAAACAAACTAACTACTACACATATGATAAGACTTATAATAAAACTTATAACTTAATAAATATAATAACTTATAAATATAACTTTTAAAAACAAAGAACTTATAATATAAAAATAAATAAAGTATAAAAACGTATATTTATAACTTAAAACACAAGGGGGGTTGGATGAAAAGTAGATATTTTTTAGTTTTTTACATTTTTCTTATTTTTTTGGTTTTTTTGATAAAATGGGGGAAAACAAGCTCAAAAGATAATGAACTTTTCCAACTTAGGTAACCCAAGAAACACCGCCAAAAAACCCAAAACAATATTAAAAAGAGAACGAACACAAAACGAACATTACACGTATAATAGGCACTTACACAATATATTACGTAACTTACGCACTTAAAAATAGAAAAAAATTCAAAGGCTCGAGTTGAATCATATCATTGACCACATATAGAGGATCGTCAACTCTCCATAAGGCCCGAAGTCAAGAATTCAAAGGCCTTTTGGATCACTTTGAACCCCCACTCACCTCAAGCGCTCAAACAATGATTCTAAAAGATGAAAAAGTTTATAAAAGAGCGAATTTTTCTTTCATTCTAACTCCCATGCACAAAGTATTCATGAAGAACATTTGATACACTTTAATAAACTTTAACGTCTAATGATGAAAATATTTTGCAGGTCTCCTTGAACTACTCAAGCATAAGAATTGTAATCTATTCACATAAAAGAACATTACATAATTTCAAAAACTTAAAAATTGTTTTTGTGCTTAAACAACCTTAAATTTTATGAAAATCAACACAAAACAAATGAACGACATAACAATCACTTCATAATGAATCTTAAGGAAAATGTCCAACCTATGGAGCTAAGAAGTCCATAATCCTTAAAATTTTACAAAACAAATAGCACAACAAAGAATCACGTATGAATTCAGAAATCATTTAACTATAATATGGAGCTAAAATAGCTTCAATGAAAACTAAATTCTACATACCAACCTACTTATGAAATCAAACTGTGCGATTCAACCAATTCAACAACAATTTACACAACAATTGAAAAAAACTAGTATGAATCAATTCTGATTTAATATAAGCATTTTAAAAAAACCATAAATAAAACACCAACCATTTTGGAATTTTGAAAATTAAAACAAACAAGGAAAAAAAGTGTAAGTTTAGATTGAAACAACACTTTTACAAAGAAATTGGAGAAGAAAAAGAAATTGACAAATAAGGGTTACCAAATTGTTGAAGAAGATGAAGAAATTGGAGCTTGTTGATGCCACAGTTGGCCTATCACTGCCGACCTTCGTCGAACGACGGCGAGCCATGGTCGGCCGCCGTCTGCTTCCTTCTCCGGTGGCGTCAATTGCAGCGGCCAAAGCCGCTGCTCACTTTCTTGTTTGGTGCGATGCCCCCTTCCCCCCACTCTCGTCCAATTCCTCTCAATTTATAGCCAGGAGATTTCTTCCCGTTGAGATTTTTCCCGTTGAAGCTTTAATTGGGCGAAATTCATGGAGGAACGTTGGAGCGTGCTTGACTTCGGCTCTGGCATTATCTTCGTTGTGGAAGAAGTCGTAAACTTCTTTTTTTGCCTTGCGTGAGATTGGAGAAGAAAGAGTACGCTGGGCTGGTCTTCTTTTGTTGACGATGGTTTGGGCTCCGGCCCAAAATCAAACTCTTTTTTTCAAAGTTGAGCTTCAATTTAGTCTTTTGCTACATTTTTCTCTAAAAAATAAGAAATCTGGTAACTTGGGTTAGAAAAAACAAAATAGTAATAGTAAGATGTAAAAAAATGATAAAAAACTACTCCCTCCGTCCTATAATGATCTTCCCGGTTCGCAAAACGAAGAAAAATCCTAAGTTTTTTCAATCTATTTTATTTAAATATTGGTATAGAAATAAAAAATAAAACATACATATTTAAAAACTACACCAAAAGTTTAACAAAACAAGTGGTGACAAGAATATTTTATTTTATCATATAGGCCATGAAAAACACAAATAAATATAAATTCCCGTGAAGTTAGAATAGTGCTCTGGGAAGATCATTATAGGACGGAGGGAGTATTATTTATTCAAGAAATTTAAAAGATTGTAAAAATTATAATTAAAATAAAAATACGCAAAACAACTAAAAATTAAACTCTAAAAATATTAAAAATGCCTAAAAAAGAATAAAAAACTAACCCAAAACCAACTTATCAGAATCTCACAAAACCATAGATACCATGCATCCGAGTAGTAATAAAATGTTCCAAGATCAGAAGAAGACGTATTGGTGGTCCACAATGAAGCGGGAAATTTCGAAATTTACAACACGATGTTTGACGTGTCAACAAGTCAAGGCTGAACACCAAGTACCAAGTGGATTGCTACATCAACCTACCATTCATGAATGGAAATGGGAACGAATACTTCGTGACGTACTTCCATTATCAATCAAGAAGAATGACGTTGTTTGGGTAATCATTGACTGATTAATCAAGTCATCTCATTTTATCCCAATTCGACGTGATATGTCCTTGAAGAAGTTGGCAGAGTTGTACATCCGTGAAATCGTAAGATTACATGGTGTGCTTTTGTCTATTATTTCTGATCGTGACCCCCGATTCACGTCACAATTTTGGAAGAGTTCGCAAAAGGCCCTAGGTACTAAACTCAACTTTAGTACGACATTTCATCCTAAGACGGACGAACCATCAGAAAGAACAATCCAAATTTTGGAAGATATGATGAGGGCGTGTGTAATTAATTTTGGAAGCAACTCGAATAATACTTACCATTAATGGAGTTCGCTTATAACAACAGTCATCTAGCGAGTATCAAAATGGCCCTTACGAAGCTCTGTATGGGAGATGTTGTAGAACCCAATATGCTAGACAGAATTAAGTGAACAAAAACTTGAAGGACCTGATCTCGTCCGAGAAACTGAAGAAAAAGTTCGTCTAATGCGAGAGAGACTGCAAGTGGCCTTTGATCGACAGAAATCTTATGCCGACTTGAAACATCGAGAGACCGGATATAGTGTTGATGACAAAGTGTTCCTAAAAGTCTCACCGTGGAAGAAAGTGTTACGGTTTGGTAGGAAGGGAAAACTAAGTCTGTGATATATTAAACCGTATCGAATTACTAAACGTGTGGGTCCACTAGCCTATCAGTTAGAATTTCCACTAGACTGAACAAAATCCATGACGTATTCCATGTGTCAATGCTGAAAAGATATCGTTCTGACCCATCACATATCTTGACTGATGGAACTGTAACGCTTAACGAACGTTTGACCTACGAGGAGGAACCTGTACAAATTCTTGCACGAGAAGTCAAACAATTGAGAAATAAAATTGTCCCTCTAGTCAAGGTACTATGGAGGAATCACTCGTCTAAGGAGGCAACATGGGAAACCGAAGAGTCAACGAGAACCCAATATCTGAATCTCTTCAATCAATGACTCAGGTAATTTTGAGGACGAAATTATTTTTAAGGGGGAGAGAAATGTAACGCCATGAAAATAAGTCTATCAAAATTAATTAATTGATAATTAATTAATTACTGAGAAATTTCCAAAAATAAATGGTTTATAAAGTTTATCGATAAATAATGAAAATTATATCATTTTGTAGAGTTTGACTATTTGATCCCAACGGTTCAATCAGATTTCAATTTGGAGAAAGTTGGACAAAAAAGTATACCCCGACTGGGACCAAATTAGTCCCAATCAGGGATAACAGACAAAATCCCAGAATGGCGTCGCTCACTCCTCTCGGCCGCTGGAATATGAATCAGAAACAACCCAGGCTTGACTTCTTCCTCTTTTCACTTTTATATAAGGAAAAATAATCTCCTTAATTCTTCACCAAAATCCTTCAATTCTTCCTTCTATCCTGCTGCCCTGAGTTAGGAGAACACATTGGTGCTGCCATTTTAGTGAGTGGTCGTCGGAGTTGGGAGCTTTTGTCACCGGAAGTTTCACCGTTCTTTCGCCGGAATCTTCGTTTAGCTTCGAGGTAAGCCCGTAGATATATCTGATGACTAGAATGTTCATATAGGTCGTTTCTAAGTTCATAAATGGCCATTTGGTTGAGTTTTGTGTTTGACATGCTTGAAGAACTAAGATTCATAAACCTTGAATTTGATGTTAAAACTATGAACTAATGATACCAAAATAATCTATGAACCTTGGAGAACATGTCTATATAGTTTAGTTGCTACACGCAGGTAGGCAGAATGAATGAGGTGACGTATTCCTGGCGCATATGGGACGAGATGGTCGAAAAGGATGTCTGAAACAAATCATTGTTGAAAAGACATGAATTTAATCTCATGTGTATTTTAAGAATTAATTCGCTTCTGCAACATTTTAAATACTCCGTTATTATCCGAAATTATCATTTATTATGAAATAAAGTTAAATTGTTTTGAATGTTTTTGAATGTTTACGATTAGCAAATTAATACTTTAGTCCGAAATGGGCTGCAGACCTGGACGGATAAGGGTGTTACAGGGCATATTGCAGAATTTAGGTGTGATTTATGACTTTATGTTAAATATGTTAACATATAATATATTACTATTGTATATTTGGTAGTTAACTTTGGTATAGGTTTATATTTATAAACTCTTGTTAGTACTAGGAGTTGGCATCTAGTATATATACTTGTAATTGTCATTGTAATTATATAAAATATAAAACTCTTCATTGGATTGGATCCGTAGAAGATTCTCCCTCTCACCTTTCTCCTTCTTCGTGGGCTCTCGCGGCCCTCCTCTTCTCTCTCTCGACGCCGGTGACCTTCCCCATGTTGACACCAGAAAAATCTTCCTCCACCAGCTCCTCATCTAATCCCCATCATCTCGCCTTCACTATTATATCGAATGTCAAACTCCATATCCTTATTAAATAAAGTTTTTTCTCAACCAAACTATAAAAAATGGAGTCGTCTGCTTTTATCTTGGTTTGTCGTTTTAACCCCATGAATTCCTCATCGGATCCAACGTGCCTTCATCAAAAAATGATGACGAGTGGTTCCAAACCTAACGCTCTTATTCAAGGTATGATTTCATCAACTATCACTGATGAAGTTTTTGATCTGGTGTCTTCACCCTAGCCCCAGCCTCTTAGGCTCGCTGCCCACACCCCTCACCCGTATCAAGCCCAAGCCTATTACACCCAAACTGTTGCCTCTAACTCCCACCCTCGGCCGTCCCCTACCCGCACCCCAACCCAACCTACCCAAGCCCTAACAACCCCACACCCAATGTCTTAGGCCTCCATGCTACCACATCGATCACTTTTCGAGAGTTTGAGTTGGGTATAGACTATACCATCATACATAATTGCTCATGTTGTGCAAAAAATTATATATATGCTGAATTATTTCGTAGATCTTTTGGAAACAACCTCTCTACTTTCAATTATAGATAAGGTCCGCGTACGCACACCATCCTAGAACCCTACTCTCGTGGGATAAAATTGAGTTGTTTTTGAATTAGGCAATGTTCTCCTTAACTTATTTTTTACTTATTATTTACTCTTGTTGAAATCAAACTAGAACTACTTTTAAATTTAACTATATTTAAATCAGATCAAATAAAAATTTATTTCAATCACATTAAAACCATTCAAATCAGATGAAATAACATGAACTTACCCCTTCCTATAATTTTGTAAAGGGAGATGCTAGGGGTACACTAAAGGTGTACCCCATTTGTCCCCACCCCCTCCATAACCACTCATTTGTATTTGATTTTTATTTACTTATTTTTTTAATTTTCTTGCCTATTTGAGTGATTATGGAGGGGGTGTACCCCTAGCAGTTTCCTTTTGTAAAGTTATTCAATTACCGGCCCGGTTCCATGGCCACTGGATTCTAGTGGCTACGGAAGCCACTGCCCCCCTATGGAGCTCCGTTCATAAAATTGATGATTCCTACCTCCTTTAACTCCTCTGGTAAACCCCTCGCCAAGTTCTGACCCAAACTAATCACACCACCTACATCAATTGCATCTCGTAAGTATAAAGTTAAAACTTTTGACTTTAAAGTCAATTATACTTACGAGGTGGAATTAACGTATGTGGGGTGATTAGTTTGGGTCGGGACTTGGCGAGGGGTTTACCGGGGATTAGAGAGGATATGAATCATCAATTTTATGAACGGACCTCTGTAGGAGGCAGTGGCTTCCGTAGCCTGTAACGCCCCAAAATATACCATAAAATTTATTGAATTAAATATCCAATTAAACAAAATTGTTTTGATTAAAATAAATTGATGTTGGGCTTTGGGCCGAAATAAAATGTGTTTTGATATCCAATATCACAATCAGGATAAATCTCATAGAGATAAATCCAATTAGTTGACTATTTGTGTAATCTTGATTAGAAACCTGTGTAAAGACACAAATTAAGAATAAATGAAGAAATTGTTTTATAATGTGAACTTTGAAATGATTTATTGAAATAAATCATGGAAATAAATAATATGAATTGAATATGAGCACCTTTTTGAGTAAAGGTCAAACAAATCAATTTTGACTCTATCAAAGTCAACCACCCAAAAATATGATGTCGGAAAAAGTATAACGAATAAATATAAAAATTATATCGTTGGATAGAGTTTAACTGTCCGATCGCAACGGTGCAAACGGATTTCAATTTGGAGAAAGTTGGACCAAAAAGTGTACCCCGACTGGGACCAAAATTAATCCCAATCAGGGAGTAATGTGCTGAATCTCTTTATCGCCGAATGAATCGTGAAATGGGAATCCTACGCAGCAGCAACTCAGCTTCCCATGTCTTCTTCCTCTTCCTCTTGCTATATAAGAAACTCAATTCTTCTCATTTCTTCACCATTCATCTTCAAAATTCTTCCTAAGTGTTCCTAAGAGTGTAAGGAGTGTAGTGGTGCTGTCAATTTGGTGTGAAGTCGCCGGAGCTAGCCACAAACCT